CTGTTTTGGTTACTGTAGCCTTGTAGTATAGTTTGAAGTCAGGTAGCGTGATGCCTCCAGCTTTGTTCTTTTGGCTTAGGATTGTCTTGGCAATGAGGGGTCTTTTCCAACCCACTGACTTTAAATTCCCAGGTGCTGTTGGCACGGGATCCATATTCACAGAAACTCCCCTGGCCACATGTCCCGCTGTCCAGGACAGCACCAGCCTTGGGTACAGGCAGGAGTCAAGGATACACTTTTTTAGAGTTTGGGACTTGGTTGCAAACTTTCCTACCCCCTTGCTCTTTTTTAATATGCCAATCCAACCTCTTTTACGGACAAAGGAACTAGATCAAGATCCCCTAATCAATAAATGATGAAGCTGCCCCCAGACCCTGGTGTTCATGCTGCTTTCAAAGTCTGTGTTCTTTCCACATCACCCCTCACATGGTGACGTAGCACAGCCCACATACATATTTTGGGCACAGGAGTGGGTAAAAGGGCAACTGGCCTAACTAGCTCTGCTAAAAATGCCTTTATAAAGAGTCTGAATTAGCAAGTGTGCCCTCTTTATAATAAAAATAGAGTCTGGGCATGGTGATTCATGCCCATAATCCCAGCACTGTGGGAGGCTGAGGCAGGAGGATCACTTGAGCCCAGGACTTCAAGGCTGCAGTGAGCTATGATTGTGTCACTGCACTCCAGCCTGGGTGACAGAGTGAGACCCCCATCTCAATAAAAAGTTTTTAAAATTAGCTGGGCTTGGTGGCGTGGATCTGTAGTCCCAGCTACTCAGGAGGCTGAGGCAGGAAGATTGCTTCAGCCCAGAAACTCGAGACTGCAGTGAGCCATGATTGCCCCACAGCCCTCAGCCCGAGCAAGACTGAGACCCTGTGTCAAACAAACAAACAAAAAATCAGAAAACTAACAATCAGTCATTCACACCCAAAGTGAATGGCTCCATTACCTTCTAGCCCTTGAAATGACCATTCAGAAACCAAATAGAAATCAACATCTTCCTTTGCCAAAAAAAATAAAAAATAAAAAAATAAAAGCCCAGAAAAGTGTTGAGGACTCCATGTTGAGTAGCATGTGCATTAGAACCCCACCCAGAACTTCCATCTCCCAGACTCCAAGCCAGGGGCAGCATGACAAAAACCCGCCACAACTGACCCAGTTTTCAGATTAGCAACTCTGCCCACAGCAGTCTCATTCTATTGCTTATAATCAGCAACCCAAGTTAAGCTTTCATATTTGCATCACTAAATTAGCGCAGTCTTCAGAAATGTTTTCAGTTTGTTTTAGTGAGCAAAATTATGCACACCCAAATTAATGTTTCCATCATTTTCCTTAGACTTGAACTTAATCTCTCTTTTAAGGGAATTTCTGCAATCTTATAAGATTTTTGTATTTTAAGTAAAAGTAGTTTATCAACAACACCTCTTTAAAGGTTTTTATAGGTTGTAGAAATGTTAGAATTCTGGCCAATATGAGATCTGACAACTCCCCAAGGTTTGGTCTGGCTCAAAGATAGAAAGTTTGAAAAGAAATGGCCCATGGTGGGTGGGGGGGCAGTTTGTGCTGAGTGTTCTTGTGTCGCCCCCAGGAGGCCACCTAAGGACATTGGGTGGGACACAGAACACCAGGAAGTGGGTGAGGGGGGCTGGGAAAAGGAGGAGCATGCACCAAAGACAAATTTGACCTGTTTTTCCATTTCTTATACTCTGTTGCATAGAGAGCCTGAAAGCTGCTTTCATTGCATTTCCAAATGCAAGCTGGTTTTAATAAGGAGCCTGAGCCCTGCCTTGCCTTGCTGCAGGTCTGTTAGGGAGCGCCTGACAGGCAGGTCAAGCCATGGCCTGGGAGTGCAGGGCTTCCTGCCCCCGCCACCGGCCTGGGTCCCTGGGCCAATGTAGCATTACAGAGCTTTCAATTCTCTTTTTCAATTGTCTCCAAGCTAAGAGGCTCCTATATGCAATGCTAAGCCTTTGAGAGCAGGTTAGTTGCAGTCAATAATAGCACAGATTGAGCACCTGTTGTTTGCCCAGCACCGTGCTAGGCTCAGTGAGACCCTGGGAGAAGACTCAGGTGCTGCCCACACTTGTCTCACCTGCAGGGGCTTTCTCCCCTTCCTGGAACTCCCCAAGCGCAGTGTTGGCTGGGCCTTCCTGTGGCTTGTTGTTCTTGCTGTCCTGTATTTTTGTTGGTTGCATCCCTTTAGGTCTCTCATAGAAGCCTGTAAGCTTCTTAAGGCCAGGGTCCATCTTAAGTCTGCTCCAACTTTGTCTCTGACTCAGGGTCTGGTACTAAAGTCTAGTAGACTTTCTATGGAAGTTTCCAGTTTGATGGCTGATTGGTGTTTCTTGCCCCGAGCTTGGTACCATCTTGGATGGAGGGTTTGGGGCCATGGAGCAGACATCTCAGAGGTCACCCAGGGAGGCCCACTGGGGGAGGGAGGGCCTGGCCACATGAGTGACTGCCTCTCCTCTTGTGCCACAGTTCATTGGCTGTTCACCACATGTGGGGCCAGCGGACCCCATGGTCCCACCCAGGCGCAGTGCAACAACGCCTACCAGAACTCCAACCTGAGCGTGGAGGTGGGAAGCGAGGGCCCCCTGAAGGGCATCCAGATCTGGAAGGTGCCAGCCACCGACACCTACAGGTACGTATGGGAGAGGGGGAGGGGAGGGCAGAGCACCCCTCCTGAAGAGGCCTGGAGTCTTGCCTACGGGTACATGCTCCTGGGGTGCCCAGGCGTGCCAAGGTTCAAAGGCCACAGACTCAGGCCCATAGTGGGGTGTAGAGGTTGGAGATGGGGAGATTTGGGATAGTGAAATATGGCAACAAAAGAAGATGTGTCCTTTGTCCTCAAGAAACTCACAGGCTCTTGCTGGAGGTGGTAAGCATGCATGAGCTAGCTTCAGAATTATTGCTAATAAGGATAATTATGGTGGCCTGTTCATTGAATATTGCTTAATGCTCTTCAAATGAGGCATGCATGTAAAATGTTTGGGAAACAGAAACACAATGCACCTGAAACTGATGCTCTTATCCTTGTACCTCCTTTCCTTAGCCTTCACTGTTGGTAAGCAGAGCAAACTGTGCTGGAATGCTCCTCCCAGCCCCAACCCTACCCCAGCCCCCAGCATTCCCTTAGAGCAGGGCCAGGCTCAAGGAGATCCAGCTTCACTTGAGCACTTTGAGGCCATGGCATCAAAGGAAGCTAATGGTAAGATTGGAGGCCTGGTGGAGACCCTGATTGCAAGAGCCCCTCCTGGAGCTTCTGGTTCTGCAGGTCTGGAGTGGGCGCTGAGAACTGACAGTTCTAACAAGTTGATGTCGATGCAGCCTTTTAGAACTTCTGAGCTTGATCAAGTCTTGGACTTAGATAACTGGGTAGCCCCTAAATGAGCTCTATGACTAGGCAAGGCCAGTGCCGCCATCCTCATTTTACAAATGAGGACACTGAGACTCAGAGAGTCAGGAGCCTACCCACAGTTACACATCCAGAAGCAGCCTCCACCTCCAGAGATCTGGGGCAGCGCCTCATGCAGCCCCTCCACGGAGCATGGCAGGGCAGGTTAAAAGGAAAGCAGAACCACTATGCCTTGTGGGAGCGATGTCCTCCTGGGGCGGAAACAATGGGAAATGAGCGCCCCTCCCCTTCCTGCAGCCTCCAGCATCCACCACATCCTGGGCCTCCTGGGAAGGAGAGGGGCTTCTCAAGTTGCCCTGTTTTCTCTCTCCAGGTTAACATTTCCTGTGGCAGCCCCATCCCTGGGGCCTCAGGGTAAATGTGTTACGGGGACAGCCCTAAGTGCTTTTTAAATGGCACTCTGGGCAGAAATGCTGTAACAAGATTGGGCTACAATCAGATTAGCTGCTACAGTGCCCACACGCCCCCAGTAAATATCCCGGAAGACACCGGACCACCCCTGGCCCTGCTACAACGAGCAAGCCAGACCTCCCCTTCCTGCTGAGCCAAGCCTCCGTGGGGCCGGTGCAGGCAGGAAAGGACTCCTGGAGAGGAGGAGATGAATACTTGCTAAGGACCCACAGGTGTTGCTCCTGCTTTAGCATAGGGTGGGTGGCGTTATTGTTGGTGTTCCCATGTTTCCATGCGAGGACCCTGGAGTCGGAGGAGCTTAGCAACACATGTACGGCTGCACAGTCGGTGATGGAGCTGGGATTCAAACCCAGGGCACTCTGGCTCTAAGTCTTTCTACTAAAGCCCATGCCTGGACTCTGGGAGGCATGCAGAGGGCAGAAGGGGCAGGAAAGGAAGGAGGGCATAGGAATCGCCCACCACCCACCTCCTGGAAGCCTCTGGAAATGAGAGGCTATGAGAGGGGCCCAGCCTCCTGAAGGGATATTGGCCAACATACCCCATATACAAAAAGCAATACGAAGGAGAAAGCAGAGCAGCTGGGAGGCGCACAGGAACCCCAACAGTAAGCCCCCAGAAGAGTCCATTGTCCTACCCCTGCCCAGGGCAACTCTAATGCCAGCTTGGCCAGAATTCCCCTGCTCCCTGTGCCCCAGAGGGAGACACACTGTCAGGCACACTGTCAGGAGATCCCTTGCCTGGGGATTCTCTTGGGCTGTGTTCCCCCGAGACAGTGTGAATCAAGCTCACTTCCAAACTTGCACAGGTCAGTTAATCTCTTGAGACTCTGATTCCCCATCTGTGAGAGGCAGGGGCTGTAAAGGTGATATATAGTCCCTGGCACGATGCTTACACGTGGTGGGTGCTCCCTGGCCCACGGGCGGAGAAATCAGCTGAAGCAACGCTGCTATCCAGCAGCAGGCAGCAGCCAGGCAGGGTTTCCAAACACACCCACCCCATACGCGTTAGTGTCTGACTTTTCCTGTCTCCAAAGACATCTCTTTGACTTCCTCGGATGAGCCCTGTGTTCTGAAAAATTTGGACTGCCAGATGAACTACACTTATTAAATAATAATTAATTCATTTTCCCATTTATTATTAATCACAGCCATATCTAAGTCAAGTCAGGTTTCTGATCTGCATGAAGTGCCACAGTATTTCCACAGCGCATTGATAGAATCCCAGCCAAAATCAGAAAGCCGTCTCCATTCATCTCTTAGAAATATCGAGACTGAGGCCAGCTCCGGGCCCCAGCACTGTCTGGCAATTTTGCCTCTGTTGAAGCAGCCAGTTTGAAGTGTCCAAATTAGTAAAGGAGACATTTTGGTCTGGCCTAAGATAGGACCATATCAAAATGGAAGAACCAAAACCAAAAGCCACTCAGTTGGGGTTTTTGTCACTGCTGTTTTTGAGACAGAGTCACGCTCTATTGCCCAGGCTGGAGGGCGGTGGTGCCACCTCAGCTCACTGCAACCTCCGCCTCCCAGGTGCAAGCAATTCTCCAACCTCAGCCTCTCGAGTAGCTGCAATTACAGGCATGAGCTAATTTTTGTAATTTTAGTAGAGACAGGGTTTCACCATGTTGACCAGGCTGGTCTCGAACTCCTGGCCTCAAGTGATCCTCCTGCCTTGGCCCCCCAAAGTGCTGGGATTATAGATGTGAGCCACCACACCCAGCCAGTCATTGTTGTTTTTGAATACTTGTGTTTTAACTAAATAAAGGCTCTCACAGATATTCCTGACCCTCACCTCCTCCTTGGCCTTGGCAGAGACTCAGGTCTTAGATGACCTGGGTCTACTGGTCACATAACTTAGTAATCTAAGAAGCAGACAGTTAATGATTTGATTTTTAGACCACTTCAAAATGTCCCCAAGTCAGAATACGACCGAGAAGTCAGCACCCTTTCTCTGGAAGACTTTTTCTCCATAGTAGTTATTGCTATTTAATAAGTACAGTTTAACAGTACTTATTTAATAAGTACAGTTTAACAGAACTGTTATTTAACAGTTCATCTGTTGAAAAAAACACAAGACACACCAGAGGATGTGAGAAAAAGGTGCTTGGACACAGAAAGGTGGGAGCCGAGCCCTAGTGAACCCACCCATCCTGGAGGCGTGGCTGCCACCGAGGCCTGGCACTGGGACCGCTCCGCTGACTTCTCTGCCCACTGCTAGGGAGATGAAGGGAAGGGAGCAAATGCGGCCAAGCCCCAGCTTCACGCCAAAGGGTGACCACCACTGCCTGGGGCGTCCTCCAGGATGTACACAGCTGGAAACACCCCCACTCTTAGCTGGTAACTTATCCTGGGCCCACCTCCCACCCTCTATAGCTTTGCCCACCTCCCCAAAGGAAGAGGCCCAGAAAGAGGGAGAGGAAGCGGGGGGCAGGGCAGGCAGGAGGAGACAGCAGGCTGGCATGGGGGCTTGGGTGCAGCCCTGGAACCCGCATCTCCTCCACCCACCATGTCCTGCTTTCCCTGCCCTGGACTTACCACTTCCTCTGACAGGTGATGCAGTCCGTGTGTCCAGGTTCCTGGGCTTCATATTCCCGCTGCTCTGCAGACCTCAGGGAACCATAGTAAGCTCCCATTAGGATGCTGTGCCTGACACCAGGTGTGCAAAGGTGATTAAGATCCAGCCCTGCCCCAGAGGCACTGCGGCCAATGGTGTGGTGGTGTGTGCACAGGCATCTCCATGGGGTGTAGAGAGAACTACAGTGGAGGTTTACACAAGGCGCTGCTGTGGAGGCGGGGGAAAGGCACTGCGCCCAGCTGAGCTTGTGAATGGCTCCTGCCAGGAGATGGGCACCTGGGTTAAGTTCGAAGGCCCTAAGCATTGTCTACAAAGAAGCGGGTGGCCAGAGCCTGCAGTGAGCACAAGAAGTTGGTACTGCTGATGAGAAGTCGGGCAAAGCTGGCCTGGGAGCCGAGGCTGGAGGCAGCAAGGCCAGGTCCTGGGGCTTCAGTGTTACCCCCAAATGCCTCTTAGTCCCCCTGGTGACAGCGTGAGGTTGGAAGTGAGAGAAACGGCCTGGAGGTGGGGAGAGCAGTTGGAAGGGAGTCACTGTCACTCAGGCCAGGGTCAAAAGGACTAAGCCAGGACAGGGTTAGGTGCAGGGGACAGGCCCAGAGGTGTTCAGGAGCTGGGATCAGCGTAAGTTGAGGACTGAGTGAATGTGGAGTCGGGGACAACGCTGAGACTACATCCACACTCTGGCGTGGGCTGAGGAGGCGAGGACAAGGAGCGCAGCCACTCTCCCACGTGCATGGCTGAGGACGGGCAAGGCTAGGGCAGCAGCGAGAGGCCCTGATCAGGGGGCCTCTGGGCGCTGGTGCTGAGTGACCATGGTGTCTAGAGGGTGGGTGGCTGGAGCGGATGGGAGCGTGGGAGGCCACTGCAGTGCCACGAGAAGAACGTGGATTATGGGGTTTGTGCTGGGGAGGGGGACAGCATCCTCAGTGTTGTCAAAAAATGGAGACAGACAATGGTACAACCCAGCTCTGCGAGGTCTGTCGGGGGACTCAGTGAGAGCCCACGGGTGGTCTGCCCCAGGCAGAGGCACCAGCACTTAGCCCAGCCCACCCCCTCTCTCTCCCTGACTTCTCCCCTCCTTCATCCCTCTCTCCCCCTCCAGCCCACCTGCCTTCCTACCTGTCTAGGACCAGCATCCTTCTCAGCCCGCAGTCCTGCCCCCACCTCCTCCCCACCCACTACCACACACACACAGATCGCATATAACACCATTTGTCAAGCATAGTCCATTGCTCCTGATGGCA